CATTAATTTGTTAGATAAAATACTAGATTGGAAGAGTTGAAAGTGTTGGATAAGGCAATCTTTGATGACTTCATGAAGATTGAGCCATAAAATTTTTACAAGGCTTTCTTTAGGACCAATTTGAAGTGTGATGCATCTACAAACAATATGTCGAAGAATTTAATGGAACTATATGCAAGGTCAAAACAAAGTCATTGATCAATATACTAGAAGATATTAGGACTTATGTGATAGAGAAGGTGTCCATGAAAAGTAAGATGTTTGAGTTAGTCAATGATTAAATCTATCCAAGAATAAGAAGAAAGCTAGAAAAAATTAAACTAGAAGCATGTGCATCTAAGATAGGTAGTTAGTGATATTTTTCAAGCTAGATTTGATGAGGATACATATTTAGTGAATTTGAAGAAATATACATGCGAGTTATCGGGAATGGGATGTTAGTGGTATTCCATGTAAGCACACAAGCAAGTATGCCTTCATGAAAGGTGACCTTGTAGATTATGTTAATCTTTATTTCAAGAAGTAAAGACATATGGGAACATATTCGAATGGTCTTGAACCTTTGAATGACTTTAAAATATGGCTTAAGAGTGAAGTTCGTGGTGTATAACCTCTTCCCTATAAGAAAATGGCAGGAAGGTCAATTTAGTTGGCAAAGTTATCTTGTTGCCCTTGTTGTTTTTTCCCCATCTTTTTTATTTTGCTTTTGACAAATAAATAATTATGGTACATGATTTTTGAAACAAAAGATTAAAGAAAAAAAAGGAGAAAAGCTCAAGGTGAAGAAAAAAGAAATCCAAACAAAACATCTAAGGTAGGAGTTCAAATGCAATGTTGAAATTATTATGCTTTTGGCCATAATAAGAGAACATGCAAAATTATGAGTCAAGAGAATGTAAAACCTATCGAAAATCATGTAAGTAAATAAACTTCATATGCTAGCATTATACTATTGGTTTATATGACTTATTATACATGTGGAATGTTTATAATAAAAGAGGAAGGCCTATAAAGAGTTCAAAAAATAGTCAAGCTTTCAAACAAAAAAAATTACTAATAAGTATAGTTTAATATTGATAATTTTGCTTGCAGTTTAATTCATCACAATATGCATTTGAAAATCATCATCGTTCTAGGCTAAAAGAGGAAGAACTTTAAAGCAAATTGTTATAATTTCATCCACTTCTAATTCTAAACAAACATCCACATCCAAATCTACTATCCTATTTAAGCCTTCCTAAAATTCCATATCTACAATCCCATCCAAACCCTTCTTCGCTTTGAGATTTGCAATCTCGACCGGATCTAACAAAGCAAAAGTGCAAAGGTAAGCGCAATTGCAAATGTTAAATAATATTGAGAGAAAAGAACAATCAAAAGACTTGGAGTGTATATAAGTGACAAAGCTGGTAATATGTATTCAAAGACTAGTGTTAGGTGTTTTTTTCTTTCAATAATTGGTTTAATAAGAACACAATTTCAATTTATCTCTTCGTTCTATTGATGTTTCGATTGAATGTTGGAGATAGAGTTGAAATAATTTTTAAAGGCAAACAGATTCCTCCACCAATAGCCATGCCAATTACAAGGGCAAAGAAATCTAAGTTGAACTATAAATGCTCCTCAACCACTCGAGAAATAGTTTAAACTACTTAATTAAATGATTTTTTTGGTCCACCTATTACATTTAACGTACTGTTGTATAGTTCATTTTTTAGAATATTGTGACTATGGAATATGACATGTGCATTTTATGATAAATAATGTATAGTGAACTCGTGTAATGTTTTCTTTTTAAGTATTGGAACTACAACTATGTTTTGTTATATTGGGATATTACGGATTGCAACATATATGATAGATTTATATATTTTAGATGACATGCTTATAAATAATTTTCTTATATTTGATACTTACTTTATAGTTAAGAGCATAAAAAGGCTTCAACGAGTTTTGTAATGTTAGGTTCCATTGATGACCTTAACATTACGGTTCTTTTAGACTTAGCTTTATGGATCTATAATCTTGAATAGATTAGCTAATATAAAATTTCATAACATTTCTTTTACCTTGGGTTACAAAGAATGAAAAGAATAGATATAGGAATACCATAGCTATAGGGCAAATGTAATACAATACATAATTTAATGTAATACTTTATAATAGCATAATTTAATACATTATATAAGATATTATATGATTTAGAGAGCTAGTGCTAACATGCCTTTTTGTTCGTATGAAGATAACAAATATCCTAATAATACAAAACCTATCAATGTTGCAATAAAATACCACTTGGTAACGACTTTGACTTTCCCTTCTAACTCCTCCATGCCAATCCTTAATCATTGTATTTGAATTTTCATTTCAATAATTTCAGATTTCATTTTATCGAGTTCTTCAATTAAATGAATTTTAGTTTGCTTTCTCTTCTTTGCTTCAATTCTTATCAAACTTGAATTTTCTCTTTTCGAGTATATCAACTAACTCCATTCTTTCCTTCAACTCTTCAATCTCAATTACAACTAACTTCTCAGCTCTACACATAATGCGATCATCTTTAATCCACTTCCAAAACTCATAATTGTCAACTCGAAAGTTGTAATATTTCATGAAAACAAAATATCAAATATATAGTATATTTCATATAGCAAGGGATACATTTTAGTAATTTCGGAACTAACAACAATAAATATCTTCCAATATGGGTAGCAAACGAACTTTTTTCTTGGGTTCATTTTAGTTCGTGAAATATATAAGCTCATCTTCGTCTTATGGTTACATAAAGACGTATTGAAAGTTGTGAAAAATATTTTTAAAGTTTCATCCGTATTGAAGCTATTACCTATATATGCCGTATTTGTGGGTTTTCTAAAAGTTATGCAAATACGAGTGTGGATAATGCGGGTTTGGGATGTGATCCATCACAATACAATTGAAAAATTTACATGGGCAAACAAAATAGACATAAATAAGAAAACCCATAAAAAATGAAATGAAAACGAGTATAGAGAGAGAGAGAGAGAGAGAGAGAGAGAGAACTTTATAATTAAAGATTCACGAGAGGAATGGGTACTTGTTGAAGATTTTTAGGTATTTCAAGGAGTAAAGGATGAAGGCTACACTGAAAATTTTGGGTTTGATGAAATCAAATAGATTGGTACATTTGATGAAGTAAAATGGTTTGGCTCCTAACCAATGGACTTGCGTGAATATTCATGGGTTTTTTTAGAGTTATGCAAATGCAGGTGTGTGCTTTGGTTTGGGAATTTTGTGAGGAGAAAAGAGACTAATTAAAATAGAGAAGAAGATTGAGGTTCTTGTTCGTCATGCACAAAGAAGAGGAGAATATTGGAGTTCTTCTTCATCGGGTAAAATAGAAAAGAAGATTAGGAATTTGGGCTAGCTTGTTTGTCGATTAAACGAGAGAAGAAAAGAAAAGGAATTAAGGATTTGGTTTTTTAAGAATTGAATTGAATTAGATTAGTTAGTTTTAGAAATTGGTTTTAAATAAATGGACAAACGACATGTCGTCCATCATAACTAAATTATAATTCTAATCCACGTATCATCCTATGTGGATTTTCATCCAAGGTGTCTCCGACGTGTCATGTCACGTCATATGAACTTAGAATCTTGAACGAAAAATAACTCTTGTGCTAAAATTGTTATCGAAGCATAGTTCATGTATTTTCTATACATTTCTTAAAAAAAAATGCCACAAAGATTAAAAGGTGTATAGTTCATGCTTTTACTATACAATATGCCTTATCAAAATACATGAAAATTATCAAGTAAATTATGTCAATAAATATCAAATATATTGACAAATTATGTGAAATGCATCCACTTTATAAAAGACCGAGATGAATAAATGCATATAGTTCTTATGGAACACTCTTCGCAATATTATTCCCGTCAATAGGGATGGCAATTTGCCCCATCCCGATGAAGCCTCGCTCTATTTTGCCTCTATCAACGTGGGAATTCTCTCGTGTTTATCGAGGAACGAGGTAGGGCGAGGCGCCTCGTGAGCGGGGATGGGGCGGAGATGATATTTGCCTGCCTCATCCCATTTGCCTCATTTCATGATTTTCATTCCTAAAATTATAATTACACCGTATATAAAATCTATAGCTAATAACTTTTAAAGTTTATTTTCTATATGAACTATCATTTTTATTTTTATTTTTTTGCTATAATTTGAAATTTGATAGTAAAATGAAATAAGACGAGATAAAAAAAAAATTGATAATTTTTTTACCCCATTTGCCCTCCTAGTGCCCCACGGGGATCCTCGTCCCCGTTTGGAGCGAGGATGGTATTACAAATTTTGCCCCATTCGGGGCACGGGGTGGGATGAGGCAAAATTTTCAAGGGCGGGACAGGGACGACAATCCCTGCCCCCGCCTCGCCCCACCCCATTGCCATCCCTGCTTGCCAAAGACACCTTGCTTTGAGGGGAGTGACTGCCTATGAACTGAAATGAAATTGCTTTAGAGATAGCCCAGAAACCTTCCTGCTTGTAGAGCAATGGTGATTATTAGAGAATATACAAGTCACGCAACAGCTAGCAATGTTGGAAAGTGGAGAGGCAAGAAGAGATGAAAGCACGTTACGTAAGTGTGGAATTATAAATACCAATGAGATCAGCCATTTTAATACAGACCAACTCAACAGTATGCTGTTGTTTGCAATAATAAAACATCCAAAATGTGAATTGAAAAATACAGCAAAATACATGCAACTCTAACCGTCTATATTTTCTTGGACGTTGCCCCCTCCTTTTTCTTTTCTTTTCTTTTCTTAAACACTAGGAGCAAGCCAGCACCATTCCATTTTGATATTAGCGACAAATTATAATATTGTAGCAGAAATGTGAGTATGTTCTAGAATATTTAACAAAAGGCTTTAATAATCTACCTATACCTTGAAACCCAAAGTTCAAAACGTCAGAGCCTATGAACCAAAGTGTGCAATTATATGATACTTATGTAAGGCTACTCAATACCTCTATCAGTACCAAGTGGGCATGGACTAGATTGCAGCCAGACTCTATTGATCCTTATATAGAGCATCACATTCTCAAAGAAGATTGCCAACAGCGTTGCACCCCAGGCATGTGAATTGATTGAGCAGTTTCTCAAAACATTGGTCTCAAACAGTGACCAGGTTCCTAAATAAAATATGTAACCCGACAGTAATAAGAAGTTTACACAATATTTGAACATCCCCAAGTCTACTTTCACCATAATCACCACACATCCTATGATACCCTCACGAGTCACGAAAACCAGCTTCAGGTCCCCTTGCCATGCCCTGAGCTTCTCAACTGCCCTCGCTTTTCTCCAGAGCTGCAAGATATAATTTGTCAGCGATAAGAACAAAAAAATACACAAACAACAAAATTCAAGGAGAAATAGAGTTGTGGCATATAGTATCAGCTCAAATTCACCATGTGGCAAACCAATGTACCATCCCATTCTCTTGCTGTCAGCACTATAATATAAACTTCAAAGAATTTGTCACATTTGGCAACATTTATGCTGCCACATTCAGCTAGCTATACAAGTAAAAACTTTCAATTATGACCCAAAACCTTTAAGATGGAGAGCTCTAGGTTGATTTTCAGAGGAATACAATTCACTAAACTGGCATCTTCTACTCCGAAGAGATTTTACTAAATATGTCTATATACCTACCATCTCAGCCAAATAATTACAGTTCCATCTGTGTGACCACAAAACACACACACATATGAGAGCGGGAGGTGGAGAAAGGAGAAAGTGATTACTGTTGTAGTTCAGAAGTTTCTCAATGAGGTCAACATGAGTCATGAGCATTCTTCTACAGCAATAACGAACCAACCCCAACGCATCAAGACCATCTCTGCACAAAGAGCCAAGATTAAACATGTCATCTATGAGTTCCAATTGATTATCGGCATCCAATTTCATATGACTATTAGGACTGTTAACTATCAGTTAGAAGCAGTTCTGGATGTTCTTGTGCCGGTAGTTCTTCTGCTATTCACATCATAAACTACACATTGAAATACTGGATGAAACTCAAAATTATTTGAGAACCTTAAAACATAGCTCATAAACCACCCCCAGAGTAACAAAATTTTAATTTCTGAATCTTGCATCTTGCCCTCAGGAGGTGCAAGTATTTAAGAAGACTCAACATGGATAATTACATTATTACAGTGGGAACAGTCAGAGAATTTATTACACAACTGGAAAGTAAAGTTTGCAACCGATTCTCCAGTAACAACATTTTACGAATATACATGATTATCTACATTATCTTAGTATATTATTTGGATAAGCATATCATATACCAAAACAGACGGTCTTCAATCTTCAAGATTACCATACAGATTCTTGCATTTTTAAAAAATAATAATAACATACTAACTACTCACCCTTCAGTATAATCGGCTTGAAGAAGATCAAGATACGTATCCCATTTGTTCCCAATCACCTAAAACCCAAACAAAATAATCACAAACATCAACTTCCACAAAACATTAAATTTTTTGTTCACCAAAACAAACAAATTAAATTTAGGAAAGGAAGGACGCTCATTTTCTCCATATATAAAAATAAAATTTAATTTGCGTTTCAGAGTATCATTGCCTTGCCGCAAGTGAAACAACGAACTGGGATAATCATCTTTGCTTGTCTCTCTCACGACTATTTCTTCTCTGCTTGTTTCCCTTTTCTCTTGGTTGTTCTGCGATGCGTGTTCCGATGGGAACCAGGAAGGGGCGGTTTTTAGCCTTGAATTTGGGCCTCCAATAATTAAATTGGAAATGAAGGTCCGTCTAATTACGGACTACTCCTATTCGCCCTGTTTTATTTATTTATTTATTTTATTATTATTAATTTGCAAAAAAGAGGTTGGAATTGGAGACGTGTTGGAGGGAAGGAAAACATAAATATTAGTCGACTTACATTATAAAAATTTATAGTTTTCTACATAGAGCTCTATGGTATCCATTTTTTGACAAAAACATCTATATGATTTTAATTTTTAGATAATTAATTCTTTATAGTTTGATCTATTAAATAATAGAGTTTCATTCATTTATAGTCAAGCTAATTTGCATATAATTTTAATTTTTGAAAAGAAAAAAAGATACTTGTTAGATTTCTATTGATTGTAATTTATATATTAAAAAAAGAAGTTTTGATTAAAAACTCAAAAAACAACAAAAAAAAATTGTCAAATAAAAAATTGATTAAAATTTTGTTTGTTAATGTTTTTCTCATTTTCGTTATAAAAAAATTGATTAACAAATATTATAGTGATCATCTAGATCTTATAAATCTAATAATATTCAACAAAAGATAAAATTATGGATTTATTGATTAAACATACTTTATGATGGTAAATGTGTATTTTTTTTATATGTGTGATTTTTCAATTTATTTTTTCATGATAGTTTTGATTTTATGTGTTCAATTTTTTTTTTAATTTTTAATATAAACTTTTTTTTTTGTAAAATAAAAAATTAGTTATAAAAATAAACAACACGAAAACATTAAAAAACATCAGCATGAACAAATAAAAATTATAAGAAAATGAGAAAAAATCAGCATAAATAAAAATTAATCATTTTTAATTTTTTGTAACTTTTTAAAATAAAGCAAAAAAAATCCAATGAAATTAGAAAATTGAAAAAATCAAAGGTAAATAAATAAAAGAAATTGAAATTTTTATTTAATAAAATTTTGAATTGAATGATTTTTTTTTTTGAATTTGAAATTGGAATAAATATAATATTTTTAAAATTGAAACCAAAAATAATTTGAATAATTGATCTTATCTCAATAATTTAAGGGTATATTTAAAGGATTTATTTGAGATTTGCAATAAATAATTAAAAGATTATAATGAATTGGGCCGAATGTTATAACTCAAAAGAGTTCAACGTATATGAAGGGAGGCACTAACTGGGCCCAAAATTTCCTAGGTTTTTTCCCCCTTACAAGCTTATATATACCAAAACCTAACCCTAGAAACCTCTACCGCTTTCATTTGTCAGCCGCGCCTCTCTCTAACAGGTATTTCTTTGCTTCTCTTCCCATTTCTCTTACTCTTGAGCTGTTGAAACTATGTGTTTTTGCTTTGGATTTTGTTTCGTTCACGAAGGACGTTGTTGCTTCTGACGAGTTTGAAGCATTTCTTAGTATTTTATATATGCTTACTTTTTGGGGCTTGTTTCTTTTTGTAAATCGCTTCTACATGTTGATATACTTTCACTAGAGTTACTAAGTGATTTGCTGTTTTGGGTTTTGCTCAAGCTACGTATATTGTTGTTAGTCTCTGGTTGACCATCCTGCTGTTTTGAATTGTAGCTCATTTTCTCATAAAATGATGAGAAAAAATGTTAGGAGAGATTTTAACAGCTATTGTCACCACAATATTTAAATTCTCAATTGTTGGAATGATTTCCCTATTGCTTTCAAGGGACCTTCACAGGTCGTTAGAATTGTGGGTTAAGTTTCTAGTGATAACTATGGATGTGGCTGTAGTGATTATGAGTTTTTTGTTGCTCACTTTGCTTTCTTGTCAGCCTGTCATTGGATGTTTTTTTTCTTCTAGTTTTCTTATTTTTAATCTATGAATAGGAAGACAGTGAATGGTTCTTAAGTGACATAATAATTTTGTTTTCAGAAGGTGCGGTCATGGTGTTTCAGTGTGTTTGTATTATTTTTATATTAAGTTTTACCTTTTTAATGTTGGCAGCTCCTTTTCTTTTTGCATCATTAGAACAATGTCCTGTCTCTAACTCTGCAACTCATATACTGTTTCAGGTAAGCCATGGTTAAGCATAACAATGTTGTGCCGAATGGGCATTTCAAGAAGCATTGGCAAAACTATGTCAAGACATGGTTTAACCAACCAGCCCGAAAGACCCGCAGACGCATTGGTGAGTAACCTCTATCCCTTTCCTGTTAATATCTGTAATAGAACATACTCATTTTTGGTCATTGTATATACATGTATTGTGCATGATCCATTATTTCTGCAGTTCTTATTTGGAAGTACTATTATTAACAATATTTTTGTGTGTCATCTATGCAACCATTTTCAGCTCGTCAGAAGAAGGCTGTCAAAATCTTTCCTCGGCCTACAGCTGGACCTCTTCGACCTGTTGTACATGGCCAGACTTTGAAGTATAATATGAAAGTGAGAGCTGGTAGGGGGTTTTCTCTTGAAGAACTCAAGGTTAGTTGGTTTTCTTTTTATTGCCTTTTTTTTTTCCTATCAGTTGCATATTCTAGGTTACAGTGTTCTCTATTTACTCTTATGTAGGGTTGTTATTCGTGGCACTTTGCTTTGTGAGCAGGGACATGTGAATCTATTTTAGGTCTTGCAATAGTCTTGGGAATGGTTTTCTCATTCTATCTAGTATTGGATATTTGTGGTTCTATGGCAACTATTGATATTGTTTTGTATGATGAATAACCCTTTCTTTTTTTCTTCACCAGGCTGCTGGTATTCCAAAGAAACTCGCTCCTACAATAGGAATTGCAGTTGATCACCGTCGCAGGAATCGCTCCCTGGAGGGTCTCCAAACTAATGTTCAGAGGCTGAAAACATACAAGGCCAAATTGGTTGTCTTCCCAAGACGTGCTCGCAAGGCCAAGGTACTTTCTGTGGCATGGCTGAATAATATTATATTGTCTGTATTTCTACCTGGAATTTCATATTTATACATGTATTTTTGCAGGCTGGTGATTCTGCTCCTGAGGAACTGGCAAATGCTACCCAAGTACAAGGACAGTTTATGCCTATTGTACTTGAGAAGCCATCCGTGGAGCTTGTGAAGGTCACTGAGGAGATGATGTCATTCAAGGCTTATGACAAGCTCCGTGTGGAGCGTACAAACGCACGCCATGTTGGTGTGAGATTGAAGAGGGCTGCAGAAGCTGAGAAGGGAGAGAAGAAGTAGAAGTTTGACCTTGTCAAATGGATTTTTGAGTGGGATGTGGGATTTTTGTTGTTTCATTTTAAACTGGGTTCGATTTACCTTTTTCCAACTTTTAGTGTCTACTATGACTTTTCAAAATGTCAATTGAGTTTTAGAAGTTCTAAGTATTCATAGTTTGTGGACTTTAGTAGATTGAATATGCTTCTTGTGATCTAACTCTTGCAGCGGCGCTGAAGTTCTTAAAGAAACAAAGATGTGGGTGCCTACTATAGTGCTATTGCGTTGCAATACCTGTCACTTAATACGTCCTTTCATGTTAAAAAAAAAAATGGAATAAACACCATCAGTTTATCGGATTAAAAAAAATTAAAGATGGGGTCCCTGTCTTCTGTGGGTTTTTTTTTCTTTTCTTAAGCTTTTTATTTGTTCATGACTTTTTAGGTTTTTTTTTTTTAAAAAAAAAACTATAATTGGTTTTTAAAGAAGGAAAAATGAAAGGGAGAGAAGCTCAGACGACGAATTTGGCTACCATCAAACGAAATTTTTTGCTTATTGACGTCATTTTGTCTCTGAAATTGAGAGTCGTGAGAATTTTAAATATTAAATTGAAAAACTTTCAAATCGAATTTCATATTTATTGCTTGTTGATTTTTTAAAAATAGTTTTTAGGATATATTTAATAATTAAGGAAGTGTTTAAAAGTACTTTTTTTTTTTTTTGGGTGAAAAATGAAAAGAAAATGGCAACTTTTCATGGTGTCGTCATCCCAGCCAGAATCGGACGATCTGGCCTCGCACGTTCCAGCAGCAACAACAGGTTTCAAAATTATTGGGATTGATTTTTCCGATATCTGGAACTTTGGGCATCTAACATTTGGAGATGCCACCGATCTTCATTGATGGTGTGATTTTGTCACTTAATTTACTACTTTTACCGTAATTTAAATTCGATTTAAATTTTGTTCGAAGTGGCAATTCTTGGGTTACTCTTTGAGAAGTCATTTGACTTCCTCTTATTATAGCTATTCTTTGAGGCATAGGAAATTTAGGGGCAAATAGTGAGTGTTGACCTAACATTTATTTTGTGAATGGCAGGTCTTTTAAATATGTCATTATATGTCATATTCATATATATGACCATCAACATAAAGTATATCATTACACTTTTCGAAGGGAGATGTCCATATTCATTGAAACTTATATTGGCTCCTGTATTGGGACCTACCCCCTCCATCCTTCTCAAAAGAGTCTCAACTGGTTAGAGTTTTGAGGGTTCCATTTTCATTAAATCAAAAACTTATTTTGATAAAACATTTACGTTGTTAATAGGATCCACTAAGGGGTTTTGTCATTGAAAATTATCATTGAAATTACCGGAGCATTATTATAAGGAAATGTTATTTTTGCTTCATTCGCATGAGTGAAGGTGATGAGCTCGTGACAGGATGTGGAATCCTTTGTGATAGAGTTGGCCAAGCTACTACCCTAAAAGGAAAGCTAGTCTTCTTTATGATAATAAGAGATAGAAATTTAGACCTATTCCCGTCCTTTTTCTTTTGGTGAATTACTAGTGCTTAATGCAATAACTGGTGTGACAATAAGAACTCTTAGTCTTACATTAGTTACCGAGATTGAAAAACCAATCTCGGTAAGATCTATTGTTAGAATATCACTTGCTATCGTAGCTCGTATTAGTTATAGTTTTGTTGGAGAGTGAATAATTATTAGTACCTTTCTAACTTTCTTTCTCGCTTTACTACTTGAGGGAAGTTAATCGGACTAGAAGTCATAGTATAGGAAACATGCTCAATATAATTTGATTGAATAATTGGCCCGACTCTCTGTTGTTTGAAGAAACCCTCCACTTCGATTGGTATTTTTTTTTTACGAAAAGCAAATACAAGATAGCAATTCTAGTTTTTCACTAAGATTTCAAATAGCTATCTCAAACGAAAATCAATAGATTCTATATCTTTCTTGGTGAGCAACTTGTCCAGAATCACATTGATTTCGGAGTAATTGTTTTCATGGAGGTTCCGTTTAGCGCCAATCTTATCAAGTTTTGACTCTTCTACCTTGATGAATTATTTAAGGTACCTTATAGCTAGTAGCCTTTTTAGTTCTCAATGTTGCGATCGATATCCTAGTGATAAAAGCAATGCTTTTTTTATTACGAAGGTGTGGGGGCCTTCATTAGAGTTAGGTAGTTAACATATACTTTCTCTTGTACAATGGCGAATACCTCTATCCAAAAGACATTCGAGGGAGTCAATTGGAGTTATGAGAAGACCGGATGATTGTAGATATATTCTATAAGATTTCCTTTTGGCTTGGACTGGGCTTACCGAGATCTTTCTTTTTTTTTTCTTTCTTTGTTGTCTTTTAAAAGTACGGGTGAATTTTTCAAGTAGCTATTGCATTTTTCACTAAAATATGACTTCCATCACTTTTTTTTTATTATTTATACTTTGTAGAGATTTCTCATGGAAAGAACATAAATCTTCTTCCACGAGTTGGCATCATCGACTCCTAATATAAGGGCTTAAGTAGTTTGGGTTTCAATCGATTGTGGACTCATAACATTTCCTTATTAAAATAGGAAAGTCGACTATTACAATCCCAAGAGTGGGCCATGATCGGTGCGAGGATCGAGGGGATCGTAAGGCCCACCTCGACCCACGCAAGCCTCGGATACTAAACTAAACCTCAATACAATTCATATTTCAATATCCAAAATCAATATTCATAATTTTATATTCATAATTAACTCCTAATACATTACCCACGACTATAACTATAGAGCATCTAAGATTACAATTCTAAATAAACATAGGTTCTAAGAAATTTACAAGGAAACGAGTTGCATGATCAAAGTGTTGACTTCGAATGAAGCAACTAAAAGAAGCGATAGGCAATCCCTCAATATCCTACAAGACTAAATAATGAGGGGTGAGTAATCTACGACTCGGTGAATAGATATTATATAATATACTAAAAGAGAAAAATGGAGTAAGGACGATATTCTTAAATCCATATCAAAATGCAATGCTCATTTCTCAAGCTCATGTATATCAAAACACATCTCATATCCCAAATCGAAT